AATCTGTTGGCCTAATCTTGTGAAAAACTATTCGGAATTTTCGAAGAAATGAAGCTGAAAATAACTATTGGATCTCGAACTCTACAAAAAAATCTCTTTAGATAATTTTCGAAAATGTTCCAGAAGCGTCAAAAAATTTCACGGGTTCAGGGGATCTGAAAACTTGAGCTTTTGGAAAAAAAGTTGCTTAAAAATCCACAAAAACTTCCTGGAAATGGTTCTTGATCAACTGATTCCGAAAATAGGACGTGTTAAGGGTCTCGAAATTCGAAAAAATTGGCAGAAATTTTCGAAAAGGTGAAGTTGTCAGTAACTTCTAGAGGTCTAAATCTACGAAAAATTCTCTTTGGGTAATTTTCAAAAGTATTCAGAAATGGGCAAAAATTTTATAACCTAGGTATTGAAAAATTGAGGTTTTGTCCTTAAAAATGCACAAACAATTTTGGGAACAGTTCTCGACGTCCTGATTTGAAGAACATGAAATTTTAAGGGTCCCGGTTCAAAATTTACGAAATATTGGCTTTTGAAATTCAGATTTTTTAGAAGTTCGGAAAATTAACAGTTTTTTATAAAGCAGTTGGGAAAAATTCTGAATTTTCGGAGAAATGAAGCTGAAAATAACCATTGGATCTCGAACTCTACAAAAAAATCTCTTTGGGTAATTTTCGAAAATGTTCTAGAAGCGTCAAAAAATTTCACGGGTTCAGGGGATCTGAAAACTTGAGCTTTTGGAAAAGTTGCTTAAAAATCCACAAAAACTTCCTGGAAATGGTTCTTGATCAACTGCTTCCGAAAATACGACGTGTTAAGGGTCTAGAAATTCGGAAAAATTGTCTTTGAAAATTGATTTTTTAAAAAAATCCCAAAAATTGCCGTTTTCTAAAAAGCGATTTTGGAAAATTGGCAGAAATTTTCGAAGACGTGAAGCCGAAAGTAACCTCTGGGGGTTGAAATCAAGGAAAAAATCTCTTTGGATAATTTTCAAAAGTGTTCAAAAATACCCAAAAATTTTATACGTATTGAAAAATTGAGTATTTGGAAAAGTTGCCTAAGAATGCACAAACAATTTTGAGACATGATTCTCGACGTCCTGATTCGACGAAGATGAAGTTTTGAGGGTACCGGTTTAAAATTTTCGAAAAACTAGATTTGAAATTCAGATTTTTAGAAGTTCGTAGAATTGACATTTTTTATAAAGCAACTATGAAAAAATAGTAGGAATTTTTGAAGAAATGAAGCTGAAAATAACTACTGGATGTTGAAGTCTACAAAAAATCTCTTTGGGTAATTTTCGAAAATGTTCGAGAAACGTCAAAAAATTTCATGGCTTCAGGGGGTCTGAAAAATTGAGCTTTTGCAAAAGTTGCCTAAAAATTCACAAAAATTTCTTGGAAATGGTTGTTGGCGAAGCTGATTCGAAAAATGCCGCGTCTGAAAATTTGGAAATGTTCGCTTTGAATTTTTTTTTAGTCCAAAAATTCCCGCTTTTCAGTGATTTTGGAAAAATGGGAGAGATTTTCGAAAAATGAAGCCAAAAGTAACTAATAATTATTATTGAAAAATTGAGCTCTTAAAAAAGTTGCCTAAAGATGCACAAAAAATTTTGGGACATGGAGTTTTGAAGGTTCGGCTCAAGATTTTCGAAATATTAGGGGGTCATGGTTTCAAGGGGTCTGAAAAATTGAGCTTTTGGAAAAGTTTCCTGCAAATCCACAAAAATTTCTTGGAAATGGTTCTCGACGAGCTGATTCGGCAAATATGGCGTCTTAATGGTCTTGAAATTTGGAAATATTCGCTTTCAAAGTTAATTTTTTTTTTAAATCCCAAAAATTGCCATTTTCCTAAAAGCGACTGTGGAAAAATGGCAAAAATTTTCGAAAAAGTGAAGTCAACAGTAACTTCGAGAAGTCCAAATCTACGAAAAAATGTCTTCAAAACTGTTCAAAAAATGATCAAAAATTTTATGTGTATTGAAGAATTTTTTGAGCTCCGGAAAAGCTGCCTAAAAATGCGCAACAAATTTTGGGCCATGGTTTTCGACGTGTCCTGATTCGAAGAACATGTAGTTTTGAAGCTCCCGGTCCAAAATTTCGAAATATTCGGTTTGAAATTCAGATTTTTTAGAAGTTCGGAAAATTAACAGTTTTTTATAAAGCAGTTGTGAAAAATTATTCGGAATTTTCGAAAAAATGAAGCTGAAAATAACTATTGGATCTCGAACTCTACAAAAAAATCTCTTTGGGTAATTTTCGAAAATGTTCCAGAAGCGTAAAAAAATTTCACGGGTTCAGGGGATCTGAAAACTTGAGCTTTTGGAAAAGATTCCTAAAAATCCACAAAAACTTCCTGGAAATGGTTCTTGACCAACTGATTCAGAAAATACGACGTGTTAAGGGTCTCGAAATTCGGAAAAATTGGCTTTGAAAATTTATTTTTTAAAAAATCCCCAAAATTGCCGTTTTCTAAAAGCGATTTTGGAAAATTGGCAGAAATTTTCGAAGACGTGAAGCCGAAAGAAACCTCTGGGGGTTGAAATCCAGGAAAAAATCTCTTTGGATCTCTTTCAAAAGTGTTCAGAAATGGGCAAAAATTTTATACATATTGAAAAATTGAGTTTTTGGGAACGTTGCATAAAAATGCACAAAAAATTTTGAAACACGATTCTCGACGTCCTGATTCGACGAAGATGAAGTTTTGAGGGTCATGGTCCAAAATTTTCGAAATACTAGTTTTGAAATTCAGATTTTTAGAAGTTCGGAGAATTGACATTTTTTTATAAAGCAACTATGAAAAAAAAAGTAGGAATTTTTGAAGAAATGGACCTGAAAATAATTATTGGATGTCGAAATCTACAAAAAATCTCAGTGGGATAATTTTCGAGAATGTTCGAGAAACGTCAAAAAATTTCATGGTTTCAGCGGTTCTGAAAAATTGATCTTTTTGACAAGTTTTCTAAAAATCCACAAAAATTTCCTGGAAATGGTTCTCGATGAGTTGATTCGGAAAATACCGTGTGTTAAGGTCTCCAATTTTGGAAATATTCGCTTTGAAAATTCATTTTTTAAAAATCTCAAAAATTCCGTTTTCCTAAAAGCGATTTTGAAAAAATGGCAAAAGTTTTCGAAGAAGTGAAGCTGAAAGTAACTTCTGGAGGTCGAAATCAACGAAAAAATCTTTTTGGGTAATTTTCAAAAGTATTAAAAAATGGCCAAAAATTTTATACGTATTGAAAAATTGAGCTTTTGGAAAAGTTGCCTAAAAATGCATAAAAAATTTTGGTAATGGTTCTCGAGGGTCTCAGCCCAAAATTTTCAAAATATTGGCTTTGAAATTCAGATTTTTAGAAGCTCCGAAAATCGACATTTTTTTTAAAGCGACTATGAAAAAATACGGAGAATTTTCGAAGAAATGAAGTTGAAAATAACATCTGGATGTTGAAATCAGCAAAAAAAATGTTTGGATTATCATTTACGAAAGTGTTCGAGAAGTGTTCTCATATGGGGCGATATTGAAAAATAGAGCTTTTGGAAAAGTTGCTTAAAAATCCACAAAAATGTCCGAAAATGGTTGTTGACGAGCCGATTCGATAAATGTGCGCTTTGAAATTATCATTTTTTTTTCCAAAAACTGCCACTTTTCATAAAAGCGATTTTGGAAAAATGGTAGTAAATTTTATTGTACGGTCTAATTCCGGGACCGCTTTACCTGTTACCTGTCCGTTGTGAAGAGGTAATTATTACAAAGAAAATAACATAAATTTTACTTCCCGTATCCGTTGTTGGGGGGTGTCCGTTACAGAGTTTTGGGAACAATATTTATTCTTTGCTGATTTACGCCGAAAAATTGATTTTTGTTACTGAATTGTCGGAATTCCCCCGACACTAACTTTTACGCAAAAATCGGGTTAGATTATCTTTCTTTATAGTATCCGAAATACTAAATATGATGTGTGTATAGAAAATTTTAGAACAAAATGGGCAGCAAAAATTAACATAGGCAAATAGGCAAAAAGCAAGTAGGGCTCAAATAAAGGGATTTCCCCTACAACCAAAATGACAAGGTTTTTGCCCTAGAGTCCGCTCTTTATTAATTTATATTAAATTCTAATTAAAGATTGTTAATTTAATAAGAAAAGTAAATTTACAGGCGTAAAAATACGTTGAATTATATTTTAACGAGCGACGCGAGCCGGACTTGCAATACCCGTAAAAACGATATCATAAATCTTCTCCGAGGATTGTCTGAGTAAATAATGAGTTCTGATTAGGAAATGTCAAATCTTTAATATGACAAATGGCACATATTTCAAACGTAAATTTTCACTTGTTACGTTCGTCAAAATAATAAACGACATCAAAAGTGACAGTGCGGACGTAAAATCTCAAAAAAATCACTAGCGAACTTTGAAAAAAAAAAACACAATGGTTGTCATTTATACTTCACCTGATCAATTGTATAAAAAAATGATCGATCACTCGTGTAAATTTGGTTATTTATGCAACAGCAGGGTTTACACTGCTCAGTCGGGACTTAACCAGTTATCGATGATTTCGAATGAGTTTTACTACAAAATGACATAAATTGTGCTGATGTATTTTAATTAAGAATTCAGCTTTTTGGGACGGATAATGTTATCTGCATCTCACTTGCTCGACCTTGGTTGCTTGTATAAATTTAACTGATGATAAAATATTGTTACGATCTCTTGGCGCTTTAAAAAAAAATTATAGTCTGAAGTGAAAACTCGTGTGCGTGTAATTGTCCTTTTTAGTCAGATGATCTCGAAACTTTAACCGGTAACATGTGACATATAATAAAGGTTTTATTGATTTCTTCCGGCGCTCCATTTGTACCTAGTGCGGTCTAAAGCTTTCAATATCTGCGAGTGTATTGATATTTCATTTGCTTTGTTTCCGTGCTCTTTGCGAGTGATCCACAAGCGCCACAGATGGCCCTTCGACTACTTGCGCATAACAAGTAGGGTTGACATATGTCTGCAGGTAGGATGGGTGAAAACCGACACCAAGGCGATCCAAGCCATCCACGACCACGTGATCACACACAACCCCCGTATCGGCGTGTCCCACACCGATCACAACACATGGAATCTCCACATCAAGAACGTACAAGAGGAGGACGCAGGCGAATACATGTGTCAGATTAACACTGATCCCATGAAAAGTCAGGTACGTTTTGCTCGGTTCCCTGTAAATCCCTATTGCAACTATTGACACCTTGTCCCGACCGACGGATTTTTACTCGTCACTGAATTAACCGCGCTTGCCATAAACATCCTTAATGCAAATACGAGGAATTCAGATGCTCCTTATTGCGATAACGAACTTCACGAAAATTGCACCGTTATTTATTTAATAAAGCCATTTTGAATATTTCAATTCCAACGTTTTAACACTCAACCTGCTCTCACTACGACTGTATGGATTTTGAAAATTTAATTTAATCAAAGCTAATTAGTTCAACTCGTGCACGAACCTGCTGGTTTTGCATTTTTGTCAAAATGCACTAATTACACCTGACACATTTTATTTATTGTAAGCTGCGAGACTTCCGGCCGATGTTCGAATTTAATGACTAGAAATGAAATCAAATTTACCGAAATAAACGATATTGTGAAATCGCTCCAATCAATTACGAACACTTTTAAAACTAGATTTAGGCGGATTCGGTTTCAACGTCAAAGATATGCGACAAAAGCGAAGTTTAATAAATGTGAAAGATAAATCAAATCATGATTGCATCTCTGAAAAAATTCAGTTACTCAATTACACTAGTAAAATAATGTGCGTTTTATATACGGTAAACGTGTGTGATTTTAAATTTGATTTCACGTAAATATCACGTTGTTCAAGTAAACAATGTTATTTTTCAAACTAGTTTATGTAAACTCGTTTCGGTTTTCGGTATTCATTTCCACTATTGTTTAAAGACCACCTCTATTATTAACATATCATCTATCGCTCGTGATGGTTGAACGCTACACTGTCCACCTCAATTTACATAAGACCCAAAATTGACTGAAATAATAGTTAGCAAAACATTTACTGACAAGCTTATTAATCATCTGAAACAAAGGAAGACCGTCCAATACTAAGTTATTTTTGCTGAATAATCACGAAACCGCACTCTAAAACAATCACAAATAAAACGTTATTCCAATCATGCCTCCATAGGCGAACAAAGTAAAATTAAAGATAAGAACTCACAACAAAGCGTTAACGATTCCATAACAAACCAACGTTCAAAGAGTCTTACTCGTTAAGTAAATAGCAGAGGATTAAAATAAAAGATTCACTTTAAAATTTTGGTACGGTTCAAAATATTGTCTATTTTCCCGTACCATTACATTCTCAGTCTTTGCGTCTTTGCAACTCAACGTGAACTAATACGTAATTATTTTCGTCGAGAAATATCAGCGTCTCGCTTTCATTGTAGTATAAATGCGCCAGGTCATCAAAACTACTTCAAGTGTTAATATAATCTATAATTAAACATTTTCACACGTAATAAATTTTCTTACTGTTTTCAGCTCGCCTTGGATTGAAGGATCAGAAGGCACAGAGAATGCAGAAACCATTTGTAAAATTATTTCATCTATTTTTTAATTAATTACAGTGGAGAAGCTTTTGTTCATATTTAATATCAATTTTATGAATTTTTGTTCATAATTTGTGTAATCTGACATTTTTCACGACTTTGCACATTTTAATTTCAAAAGATAGATAATTAGAATGAAATATTTTGTTTGAAGTATAATTTCTTCTAAGAAGAGAAGCAAGAAGGTACTGGATTTGTGCCTATATTTTCTCACTGAATAGAACTGGCATTAGCGATTGGATTGCTCACCCGGCGCCTCCACCAAAATTAAAGTCCCTTCTTTACGCTTTGTTTATTCACTCTTTAGATAAATAGCACGAATTGATTAATTTTTATTAGTAGTAGAACCAGTTATGATCTATTAATGACTTAGTCCAATTCTTTTCTGTACACAGATTTCAATTTTAGTGTCTTAAAAATACATTATTTGAATTACAATTAACTAACTCGATGATTATTTTTATTTGCTTCTTTCTATTTTGGAGGGGTTTTAGACAAAAATGTATATATTTATTTTTGTATTATGTACTTATTCTACGTTCACTTTTCAAGCAATATCTCATTTATCGTGTTGCGAAATGTTGGAACTTTCCTCACAATTTGTTTTGCTTGAATTAGTTAATAATACAAAATTAAAAACTGCTCTATGTTTCCTGGAATTGAATAGGTTTGTATTTTTGTTTGTTGATTCAATAAAGTAAACGCGGACGTTTCATATTGAATTAAAAGTCAAAACTAATAGTGAAATAAACCCGTGACGTGCGTCCGTTCATTCTAGCCACAAAAACTTTATAAACTTTCCAGGAATAATCCGCTATATTTACAGCTCATGTTGTCCATGAATTTACATCCCTAACAAAATCGTTTGCAGACGAAAACCTTTTGCTCTTTAATCGACTTTAGACTTTAAAGTGTGTAATTAAATTTTTCTAACAATTAAATAAAATGTGATGTAGGTGTTTTATCTGAATAGAATAGTACTAATATATGGTATATCGCATCACTAGTAAGCGAGGTATTGCTTGTTAAATGAAATCTAAATTTTCTAGTAGCACAATGGTAAGCCAATTTTTCTTTTCTTTTGTTTTCTTATTTTTACAAATACGGTGATTTGTTTCTAAATTTCTATATTTTTCCCCAACGTCGTCGTTATCATTCTATAGTTTACTTAGAATTGTCTTTACGATCAATACCTAACGAAATACGGTTTGTTTTCATTGTCTCTGTTTAGTTTTTTCCAAAGCGTCTTATGTTTTAGATTTATTGACAACTTTATTTCCTAACATTGTCATCATAAAAGCCACTTTATAAAAAAGTACAAAGAACAACCTTATTAAATATTAATGGCGCACCAAGTCTGATCTAGAGAAATTTTTACATTCGTTTATTTCTCTCAGTGCTCGCCGCTTTTTTCTTATTTTTCCTTCAAATCGAGATTTTCGACTTAACTCGCTCATTTTTTTTATGTTTATACTAAAGCAACATTTTTTAGGAACAGGTTAGGTCCTGGATTAGCCCCTTGGTGTACTCCGTGGTAATTATTTAAATGAATACTGTGAGTTGAAACTATCACGCTCATGTTTATTGTTTGTGTGAAAACCGCAGCGTGACAACGAAGATATCAGCTGACGTATGCGAGTTCGAGCAAAAAAAACGGCCCGTCCTTTTTCTGAATTTTATATGCCCGAGAGCAGAGTGCAGGTGGAAGCTAACGTTGTGGAAGCAAGTAGCTTCGGTGAGGTTTTAGCGTTCGATGCTACCTTTGTGAGCTCAGGAGAGGTTTCAAGTTCGCATGTGTCTGGCGAACATGGAGCTCGCAGTGGAGTTACATGTATAATGAAAGGGTTTGGACCGCCGAGACCTGACACCCCAAGCCAATCAGTGCACTGACCACCAAACTCGGGCAATCGACGCAGGACTATAAATTAACTTACTACCTAACATCTATTATTATAGCTTGTTGCAGAGACGGTGTCTTTTGTCGCATATTTTATCAGTTGTTTTTGGATGGCTTCATTTGTTAATTACGTACAACAATAGGTTTCATATAAAATCACATTACCTGATAATAAATTATTAATACGCGCATTATTCACGCGTACATAAATACAACTCCACCCTGAATTTAATTTTGATTTTATATATCACGGTGTATTTAAAACTAATGAAGCGGGATTTCACACTGAAACGTTACTATTAAATTAGCAATAGCGCAACATAGACACACTCGTCCGCTTCGTCTATCTGTCATCTGTCTGTCGATCTTTGGCGATTTCATTATCACGGAAATAAAACTTTAAGTCTTCGTGCCTTAAAAATTATACAATTTGTCACACCAGAATAACGAGTGTATTCTTGTCCTCCTTTTATTTTGAGAACGCAACATTACTCATTGTGAAGAATTATTGATCACAACGAATTGCAAAGAAAGAACGTACGTCTTTAAGATTAACGTATTACTCAAAACGTAGTGAAATTATTCATACCTCGCCAGAAAGTAACTTGGCGCCTTAGAGACAAGGGAAGTTCGCTTTCTAGCAAACAAAACTAACCCTTAACCTGTTTACACTTTTGGTTATACTAATTTTGATGTACGAGGGATATTTAAAAAACTTAGACCGATACTATTACGACTCTGTACAATGAAGTCGTGGCAGTTTATCGTATTTTACTTTTGGGAATACTTGATGATATTTATCCCGACAAATACCAGGATTTATATCTGTCAGTGATGAAAGCTACTGTTTTACATCACCACAATGCCGACCGTTTGAAAACCGGTTTTGGCGAACCGGTTATACAGGTATTTTTAGTAACAGAACCGTCGATCGATTCCTGTTTAGAGTGAAAACGTGTTCTAATTAATCGGTGGGTGCTTTAAAACGAACACTTTGATTATTTTTATTTGGTTTTCGTGTTTATACTAATTTGGTCTACAATTGTCTTGTATTTTTAGAATATGTTACAGACGTAACTGGTATTCATTACAAGTTGTGTAACAACATAAATTCGGGATGAAAATTTGTGCGTCTCGCAGGTGCTGTTTCTCATAGTGAAATGCAAAACCGCGTTTTTGTCCGTTTGCAGATTGTATTAAAAGAAAATACCGAAGCGGATATCCAACAAAATACTCATCATCCAAGTTATGGTTTTAGATGTGGCTTAATTGCACCCCCTAGTGGGCAAAATAAAACGATCTTTTTTAACACGAGGAGGTTTAATTGTATTTTTTATTAGTTTAAACACGTTAGAAGGGGGAAGTTTTGTGCGAGGCGAAGTTCTTGTTGTTCTGCAAATCACATTTGCTGAATATAATAAATGTCGTAGTTAACATTATCTTCTTGTAGAGAGTTACTTAACATGTTTTTAGATGCTAATGCATTTAAGTATTTGGCGTGAAGAGAATATTTGAATAATGAGACCCTGCACAAAAAGGTGGAGTATTATAACTCATTTCGCTACCCTACTTTACTTACCAAAGTAAACTAGTGAAACAAAAGCCCTTGCACAAGAAAAATTTACCCTAATAATGTACGCCCAAAGGATACGTTAATTTTTTATAATTAGGGTTCAACCCTTTTTATTTGCGCCAACCGGAATTTTTGATATTTTTCCTTCCCGGCAATCTACACCTTTTTGTGATCGCCACAAAAACCCACCCCACTGTAATTTATTACAAAATTAAAAAATATACTAGAACATATTAGCGGAAAAATTGACGTTGACGATAACTTCGTTCTATTGATCGAAGCGAAAACTAATTTTCACAGACGCATCACACTTCCTCACAAAAAAGAATTATTTTTAAGCCGCTTAACGACAAAAATATTAAATAAGATGTTAGATTCTAACCAGTGAAAACATCACGGGCACGTAACAAAAATCTCAATAATGGCTTAAGTCAAGAAGTCTTGCAATGCCGTGCTTTAGAAAGGGAAAAGGTCGAATTTCTAAATTGGCTAACTTAACGATAATTACCATGATTCAGCGGGGTATATAGAATTTTGTTTCAATCTTGTTCTACATCTCAAAAATATTAAATAAAGGGTCTCCTTATTCTTGCTTAAAACTCAAGATAACAAGCTTTGTTTGAATACGAAACTCCGGAATCAGCAAATATTACAAGCTCATTTTGGGTGCCTTCGAGTTTTTAAAGAGCATTTGCTACAGAACGTACGATCTCCTAATCAACTATATATTTCTCAGATCATTAGTTTCTGAGTTTCGTTCACTAATTTCACGCTGTTGCATGACCATAGTTTCAAATTTATTCTTAACGAAACTTATTGAAGGAAGTTTGTCACGTCATTAAAAAAACTTTAACGTCGACCTGTCACAACTAGGGCGCCACCTAGTTTTAACAGCTATCTTATCAACAAAATTAAAATAGCAGACGAACAATAAACTTTGACGTATAGGGAAGGATTAAATTCCTTTTTGAGCTTTATTTTACAGAATTTAACAAAATTCCGACTGCAGATCATGATTACCGGAAGCCAACCGGAAGCATAATTACTTCGCAACGACAGTTGAATAGTGGAGACTATCGACTTCTGAAGATTATTAAAACAATAGAAAGATGATTACTGTGAATTTAAATCCATTGGTGAGAGACAAGTTTAAAGCTTGCGTAAGAGTGGTACCAGTAGGTCCTGCTAATATAAACTACCTCGGGCAATAAACAAGGGAACGAAAATAATAGATGATTGCGGCTTATAAAAGTTAATCTTAAGTCACCCTACATTAAAAAACTAGGGTGATTGAAGCAACAACAAGCTAAGCCTAATGAATACTCCGACTGCTTCAAGGACATTAAAATTAACCACGATTCGTCCTACTGAAGCAGAAAAAAATCGTTACAACGGAATAAACTCAAAGAAATCTTTCGCTTCGGAGCTAGACTGAAATATTAACGTGAGAATTACCATCTCTTTGTTTGTTTATCATAATTTCAGCACCCGTGATATTGAAAAATGTTCCAGCGAAATTCTGGTCGGATATGTGGATATTAATGAGCCAGGATGTGTTTTATATCATAAATAACTGTCTTCTGGCTAAAAACGTCTTCAAATGGAGAGTAGATTTCGATTGTTTCGTTCAACGTACGACGCATCACAATAATTTCAGTGTTTTCGAGTCATTACTTGAAGCAATTTCTACTTGTATTTTCAAAATGTTTGTTAAAATATTCGACAAAAAGTCATTGTCCAAATAATAGTGTGGAGTTGAATAAAAATTAATTTAAGCAAACGATACACACAAACTAGGTTAAATATCAATTGATAGTGTACGTACGAGCGTGTTTACGATATACATTACCCGGACATCTCGTACCCACTTGATGTCGCGTTGTTATTTCATTTAAACAGACGTGACAATTAAAATGGCATTTATTCACAATAATTTTTTTCTTTAAAGTTAAATTGTTAAATCGGTTTGTCGAGTGATGGGCCTGGGTTTGTCGTATTAGTTTTGATCCGATGCTAATGGAAACCGGAGGCGGCAAATTTGGTTGAGTATCTCTTCCAAGACCGTAATGTGAGAAGTCGTGAAAAAGTGAGATGTCAAGTTGTGTTTAGGGAATTTTAATTCGTGTTGGCGAAAAATGTAACATTATCAAGTGTTATAGCTCGGCTATTTGGACATCGTCATTCCTCCCGATATTGTTGACGAAGGGACATCCGGAGACATTATGATACCCGAAGGTGGAAATATAAAGTTGATTTGTAAAACAAAGGGACACCCAGAGCCAAATGTACACTGGCGTCGGGAAGATGGCAGAGAGCTTATAGTAAGAGAGCCCACGGGAGTCCGCACTAAAGGTAACGCACCGATTTCTTTATTATTATCGAAACAATTTCGCTAATCCGACAATATTGAAATCTAAGACCTACTTTTCCGGGTTTTAAGATTCCGCACCGTAATAAAAAGCTTAAAACTTGTGACGGATTTCGTTCACAATGGACGGTGTTTTTTTTGTTTTGATGTGTGGGCTAATTGCCGCGGGAGAAAAACGCCGATTAATTTCCACTTTAAAGTCGAAACGGAAAAGGCAGAGCTTTCAAAATAATAACACGTGTGGAACGTTGTATTTGTTCATATTAACCGATCGACGTGTTATTGCCCAAAGCTATTGCGCTCCTGAGAATACTCAAGATCCCTTTTTTGAATCTTACAATACCTATTATTGTGCCACCCTAAGTATATTGCTTTGCTAAGATCAATGGAAGCGGCCTCAAGCAGCAACCGATATCGAACGTGAAGGTGATTGTTAAAAGGAAAATGTGACTATTTCTTTTCAAAGCCGCGGTCATCTTTGTGTTTATATACAGTTACAACTTTTTTCCAAAATATTGCGACTTTCTGGATAACAGCCAGAGTTTTTGCTTCGACGCAAAAGCAGAACCACATTAGAAGTAACACTACATCTTCATTCACGACGTCGGCTGATTCACGATAAATGGCTTACGTATCGAGCCGTGTCTTTTTTATTTTGATTATCTTAACCAACTTTAAACTCAGTACTTGGTAACAGCAGATGCAAAGATTTTGGCTTCGGTTACTATCAGCAGTCCACACATGTTTATCACGAAATTTAATTAAATCACTAATTATTATACAAAATACGTACACGAACTCTCTATTCATTCAAACGAAAATAAAATGCTAGCATTTCAGTTAATGTTTCCTTGCTATATTAATATTTTGTTTACTAACCCGACATTTGAGACAAGTTTTTTATATTCTGTAACATTATAGATGAAGTCGTGGCAATACTCCTACACAAAACACATTAAAGTAACTTTTTCTCTTTTGTAAGCAATATACGTAAAGCGAGTTAATCGCGATAAACCAAAACAGTTTGTTGAAAGCATGCTTGTGTAATTCTGTGTAGATTTAAGCTTCGATACAGCTGACTTTCCCACTGGTCTAGGTGATGAATGGTTCCGGGTGATGTCTCGACCGTTGTGTTACTCAACCACGAACACGGCACCACCTGGAATCCGTTCGCCATCGAAACTAAACTCTGTGCAGTTTTGTGCAAGAATTGTGAACTGTCGAACGTTAAAGTTCAAGATCTTAAAAATTCTATTACAATGTGTTATTGTGTCTAATTGTTAGTGAAAACTGTGTAAAAATCTTGATGTTATCAAAAATGATATACCAAAAAGGAGAAAAACTGGCTTGTGTTTATAATTGTGTGCTACGTAATATCTACCTTAGGGACGTAGCACATGCCGATGTACAATCCATCGATGGTGATGCTTTTATTGTTCGTTGTAGTACTTTTCCAAATTCGATATTGTGCTTTATACCTTTTCAACAGTTATCAAATCTGCCTGATACTACGACGCAGTGGCGCTGTTACTTGACAAAATGTGTCAGTTTGTAAACAGTAATGTGTTCTTGTTTAAATATTTGCCAACTAACAACAACTAACAATAATTATCTATGTAAAGTTTACACATTGTTTCAGTAGCGAACAATAAAAACGTCGCTATAATTATTATTATATAACTGTCCCAGATTTTGGTCCCCACAAGCATTTATCAGCATCTGATCCTCAAAGTTCGAAAAAATAGGTCTTCCGGTTCCGTCTGTCTGTCTATATGTCTCCCTGTCCGTCTGTCTGTCTGCCGTCTGTCCGGATTTTTTATTAGACCTATAATCTCCGAAACTGTTGGATCGATTGTTGTCAAATTTTACATATCTATAGGAATATTGTGTACCGTTGAGATCGGGACTTTTTTTTAGTTACATATAGTTTTGTTTGAACAACACGGTAGTTAAATAAGTTTTCAGTTTCTTGTTAGGAAAAGATTTCGTATTTTTAGGAAAAATGAACAAAATATATGCCCCGCCCACCCACCCCCTCTCAGTTGTGATGAAGATTTTATTCATCGTAAGCCGAGGGCGGGGCTTAGCTGCAAAATCCTCATTTCTCTACAAGAAATTCCCACATGAAATATGTTCTTGAAAGAGTAAAATTTTGCAAAGAAATATGCATTTTGCAATTAAACTCCGGCGCTCGGTCTGACAACGAGTAAAAAAATCATCACAATTGAGATAGGGTGGGCGGGTGGGGCTTATATTTTGCCCTTTCTTCTTAATATACGTAGTGTTCTTTTTACAACAAGAAACTTAAAACATGTTCAAAATTTTTCTAGGAAAATATGTATTTTGCAATTACGCCTCGCCGCTCGGTCTGACAACGAACAAAAATTCATCACCGTTGAGATCGGGACTCTTTTTAGTTACATATAGTTTTGTTTGAACAACACGGTAGTTAAATAAGTTTTCAGTTTCTTGTTAGGAAAAGATTTCGTATTTTTAGAAAAAATGAACAAAATATATGCCCCGCCCACCCACCCCTTTTCAATTGTGATGAATATTTTATTCATCATAAGCCGAGGGCGGAGCTTAGCTGCAGAATCCTCATTTCTCTACAAGAAATTACCATATGAAATATGTTCTTGAAAGAGTAAAATTTTGCAAAGAAATATTCATTTTGCAATTAAACTCCGCCGCTCGGTCTGACGACGAATAAAAAAATCATTAAAACTAAGATAGGGTGGGTGGGTGGGGCTTATATTTTCTGTTTCTTCTTAATATACGTAGTGTTCTTTTTACAAGAAGAAACTTAAAACATGTTCAAAATTTTTCTAGGAAAATATGTATTTTGCAATTACGCCTCGCCCCTCGGTCTGACAACGAACAAAAATTCATCACCATTGAGATCGGTACTTTTTTTAGTTACATATAGTTTTGTTTGAACAACACGGTAGTTAAATAAGTTTTCAGTTTATTTTTAGGAAAAGATTTCGTTTTTTTAGAAAAAATGTACAAAATATAAGCCCCGCCCACCCGCCCCATCTCAATTGTGATGAATATTTTATTCATCATAAGCCGAGGGCGGAGCTTAGCTGCAGAATCCTCATTTCTCTACAAGAAATTACCACATGAAATATGTTCTTGAAAGAGTAAAATTTTGCAAAGAAATATTCATTTTGCAATTAAACTCCGCCGCTTGGTTTGACGACGAATAAAAAAAATCATTACAACTAAGATGGGGTGGGTGGGTGGGGCTTATATTTTCTATTTCTTGCTAATATGCGTAGTGTTCTTTTCACAACAAGAAACTTAAAACATGTTCAAAATTTTTCTAGGAAAATATGTATTTTGCAATTACGCCTCGCCGCTCGGTCTGACAACGAACAAAAATTCATCACCGTTGAGATCGGGACTCTTTTTAGTTACATATAGTTTTGTTTGAACAACACGGTAGTTAAATAAGTTTTCAGTTTATTTTTAGGAAAAGATTTCGTTTTTTTAGAAAAAATGTACAAAATATAAGCCCCGCCCACCCACCCCATCTCAATTGTGATGAATATTTTATTCATCGTAAGCCGAGGGCCGAGCTTAGCTGCAGAATCTACATTTCTCTACAAGAAATTACCACATGAAATATGTTCTTGAAAGAGTAAAATTTTGCAAAGTAATATTCATTTTGCAATTAAACTCCGCCGCTCGGTCTGACGACGAATAAAAAAAATCATTACAACTAAGATAGGGTGGGTGGGTGGGGCTTATATTTTCTGTTTCTTCTTAATATACGTAGTGTTCTTTTTACAACAAGAAACTTAAAACATGTTAAAAATTTTTCTAGGAAAATATGTATTTTGCAATTACGCCTCACCCCTCGGTCTGACAACGAACAAAAATTCATCACCATTGAGATCGGTACTTTTTTTAATTACATATAGTTTTGTTTGAACAACACGGTAGTTAAATAAGTTTTCAGTTTCTTGTTAGGAAAAGATTTCGTATTTTTAGAAAAAATGAACAAAGTATTTACCCCGCCCACCCACCCCCTCTCAATTGTGATGAATATTTTATTCATCATAAGCCGAGGGCGGAGCTTAGCTGCAGAATCCTCATTTCTCTACAAGAAAGTACCACGTGAAATATGTTCTTGAAAGAGTAACATTTTGCAAAGAAATATTCATTTTTCAATTAAACTCCGCCGCTCGGTCTGACGACGAATAAAAAAAATCATTACAACTAAGATAGGGTGGGTGGGTGGGGCTTATATTTTCTATTTCTTGTTAATATGCGTAGTGTCCTTTTCACAACAAGAAACTTAAAACATGTTCAAAATTTTTCTAGGAAAATACATATAGTTTTGTTTGAACAACACGATGGTTAAATAAGTTTTCAGTTTCTTGTAGGAAAAATATTTCGTATATGAAAAAAAAAGCACAAAATATTAACCACGCCCACCCACCCCCTCGCAATTGTGATGATTTTTTTATTCATCGTGAGCCGAGGGCGGAGCTTAGCTGCAAAATCCTCAGTTATCTAAAAGAAATTACCATGTGAAAAAATAAAATTTTGCAAAGAAATATGGATTTTGCAATTAAACTGCGCCGCTCGGTCTGACGACGAATCAAAAAAATCATTACAACTGAGAAGGGGTGGGTGGGTGGGGCTTATATTTTGCCCTTTCTTCTTACTATCCGTAGTCTTCTTTTCACAACAAGATAATTAAACATTCATTATTTTTTTAAACATGTTCAAAATTTTTGTAGGGAAATATGTATTTTGCAATTACGCTTCGTCCTTGGTTCTAACAACGAACAAAAATTCATTACCATTGAGATCGTTAATCATTCCCACCAATAATAGGATGACAATATCGTCGAAATTTACATTAGTTATAAAATAAGATACTTCTGCAGTTGTAGTTTATGAATCCAAAAAATGCTGGCGTCATCTTACAATTTTGCCGAATTTATGTGTATTTTTGGGAAAAAACTGAGTGTGATTAATAATTAACCAGTCCTCTGTGGGGAGACAAAATCAATCAAATATCATTTTCTTTTAACCGCGAATGCTTGTCGCATTTTCTCGAAATATAAAGATAAACAGTCGAAAGTAAGCATATACTGAGAAATCGAGAATATCTACATGTTTTTTCTTTACAGAGGTTATCACGGAACGAAATAAAATTTTATAATTTGTCGAATTATACTTCAAGTTCCATCGAAATAACCTTCAGTCAATTTTTTCAAATTACGTTAATAGTTTTTATTCCACGTCATATGGATAAATAATTCACGGCCATTTTTTTTCCTTTTTCTGAACTATTGTACTTTGAACTGTTTTCATCCAAACATCTGTTTGTCTCTGTTTTAACATGTCACAAAAGCGATGTTCAAAAATTTGAAATACATATTCGTATCTTGAAACACACAGTTCAGGATAACCACGACGGATAAGTTACAGGCGATATAGAAATTAACGAAATGCAATGTTGGCATTTTCTTGATAATAACTAGAGAGCGGAAAATATGCAGCAAAATTTTGGGAAATATGATCATATGATATGCACTAAATTTATGCAAATATGCAGTAACTTTCTTAATATATGCAGAGATATGCAGCTGCATATGCGCCAAAAATAAAAAAAAAAGTTTAATAAGCGAACTAAATTTATTTACAAATTACAAAAACAGGTTTCCCGAGCTTACGTTTTATTACAAAAAATACATAAATCACATTGCAAAGTGTTTAATTACATCTCACTAACACACAAATCACATTTTTATTGATAATATTCTTATACTAAAAAATAAATATAAACAGAACAAATTAAAAAATAGCAGTAATCGACGATTTAATTGCTATTTAGGTAACAATTTATTTTTAAATATTTTTCGAAATCTTCTAACAAAAAGTTTTTCCGGTGAATCTAGAGTATTATGTATTTGTAAATAGAAAAACTGCGTACTACGTCCACAGATGTAAAAATACTTGCTGGTTTAGAGCAGGCGTGACAAAACACAGTTCCTTCTTGAAGAATAAGTTCAGGAAAAGGTTTAATCCATAAATTAATTTGAGTTATCTTCGACATATTGACACACCTGTATCGCTTTAAATGCTTTCAATGCTCTCACGATGAAAAATAATAGGATAACGTCTCTTCGACCACCACAACACGTATCATTAATACACTGAAGTAACGAACAAAAATATTGGGAATGAACCTAGTTCCAAAAGTAATTAGGGCGCGAATTTACCTGGAAGGATGGCTTAACACCCAGTGGTTTCTCCAAACTACCATAAAACACAAACCTTTCCTAGTTACATGAAGCTCAGGACAATATTTGCAAGATGATTCATGAAATTTCGTCTTTCTAGACAAACGCCGATAGAATGACAATCATTTTCTTTTTCAAATTAGCACAAAACTTGATAAAAATGCAAAATATGCACCCGGTACGTGAAATATGCAGCAGAAGGCAAATATATGCAAATATGCAATTTTTTTATAGCTGTATTCATTTTTAATTAGCATGATTCGTCCACATATTAAATATCAAGACTTATATGCAAAAAATAACAGATATGCAAATTTCATAAAATCCGCTCTCTAATAATAACATTTTTATTTAAAAAAATCTAATATTAATACTTAAAAAGAGTTACTTCGTAATGAAAAAACACTGGTGGATCGACCACGCACTTGACTTTGTTTTTTTTATTGTACTGCTGCTAGTAAAAACTGAGTAAAGTGAGAACGTCTGAAAACGCGCGATAAATAATGATCGTCGGGTCTACCGCGATCGCAACCCAAGCATATGTAGTAAACCCGCAAACTGTAGCTTATTTTGAGACGTTTGTGGTCGTAAATGACGCAACGGGCCCAGGTACATCCCGGCTGTGTTCTGCCGCGTGTAATGCATGCCGTTAGACTGTTGTTATGAAAAATAGGCATGTACGGGAAATCGTTAGTTTGATAAATCGCGCGGTAGAAGGAAAAACGTATCGGAATGACTGCGAATGTATCATGAGTGATTTTTGTGTAACGCAAATGGTGGAACTGTGATATTTTAAAGGCAGATTTTTACATTCGTTTTATGGGTCGCGATTTCGCAATCTTCAAGTGTTAGCAGAATTACAGATGCGAGTGGTGGGGTCGTAAAGAAGATGCGCGCTTTCGGACTACTGATAACGGTAGATACAAGCTGGAACAATGTCAATGCTCAATTTGTCACATCGCATCCACAGCTTGTAAAATTCAAGGATGGCCGGCTGGATGTTCCGAGGACTAACCGAGCTTGATATTGAAAGCCACTTTTGCCGAGCTTACTGTAGTGTATGTGTTTCAGTTCACCTACATAAGGGCCCAGAGTTGCTACTTTCGAAGATAGGACGTTCCGAAATGGGCACATATCTGTGCATAGCTTCAAACGGAGTTCCTCCAAGCGTTAGCAAGAGGATAACGGTCAGTGTGAACTGTAAGTGTCTCGTTTGCAAAGCACTAGTGGGTTGTTACCCATCACCCGGCGCACCCTCAAAATTTTAACACTACAAATATTGACCAAATTTGCTCAGCCGTCATAAATCACAAACTTTTAACTATCGCCGCTGCTACTAGTTTACTAAATCGTTTAACTTTCGTCTCACCTGTCCCAACTTCGATTCGTTACCGATAAATCGGTTAAAGAGACGACCACCTCAACAAGGTCACGACATTTTGGTCAAAGTAGTCACTGCATATTGCTAAGCACGTATGACGTCACTGGCAAGAAAACATCAAATTAATTAATGTTTGTCGTAGCATTTGTCGCTAGTTACTAGACCGTTTAATTGTCAACTCACCCACCTCCACTTATTGGTTACAGATACATCGTTATGTAAGTTTGCGACATCGCATAAAATTATCGTAAGGAGGTACGAGGAGTAAATATTAAACTTAGGAAACAGTTCATAATGCATTCGAAGTAATGTGTCAATAAAGATAAGACAATTGACTTGCCGAACTTATTCTCAAATCTGGTATTTGGCAGACTGCACATCCTGCAATTGCACATGCATATAATACCATTGATCTTTGTAGCTCCATGAGGAAACTCAACAAATGGATTTCACTGTAGTTAGTGCGCAATAATAAACTTGCTACTATAAATTAGTTCGAATGGGATTCAGTGGATGATCAGGGTTATAGGTTGTATTAATATGTTAATCCACCACCAGAGACAAGTCTATTTTGTAAAATGAGTTGAATAAAACTCTGAAGTTGGCATCAAATATGTTTTATAGGTTCAAACCCAGAAAAAGTTTATGACGTAGTTGCAAATGACAGTTGTAAATGAGATTGTCCGTAATACCAAAACAAATTAATTTTATGTAAATGTATGAATGAAATGCATTATTCCTTATCATATAAAACGTAAAAAGGACAAGCATTTATTCAATTTCTTTAAATGTTAGATGAAACTGCCAATCGAATTTTTATTGACAGTGCTCAGTGAGGTTTGTACTGCATAGGGATGATAAATTCATGATTTGTAAACACGAATACAATAGTCAAACACTAATACTATTAAATTGTTCTAAATTTAACACCAATTAAAATTTTGCCAAAAACGGAACCACAAAAATCCACGACAAATCCTCAAAGACACCAAATTCGCATTTCGGCTTTAAGCACGAGAAAGGAGTAATGAAAATTGTGGTTGAAAATTCTCGCGCGCCGCTGTTCAATTCTCATGTTTATCAAATACAAACAAAAACGATTCAAGCGCTTACGGAAAACACAATAACAAATCCCTTTTTTGTTGCATTGTTAATAGCTATCACATTTGGGTCAGTAGATCAGTTGTACAGCGATTTTCGGTATCAGCTCACGTGCTGGCGTTGCGAAAATTTAAAAATTATGAATTTCGATGTAACCATTGGTCAGTTTTTAAATACACTTCGATATACCTCAATGGGGGGTTTAGTTGCTGTTGTTTCTGTCATACTTTTCGCGCGCTTACATTAATGTAAAGCTGCAGGGTTAAAAGATAAAAGGAAATGGTTTTATCTTTTTACGATCAGCGGTATCGAATATTCGCTGGATTAAACTTTGCTTTTCAAAAACTTTACTGAGACAGCAGCAATGTGGGCGTTGTCTCCTCGTTTTACTGAAATTTCGGAAAACTTGGCGAAAATTTCAGCGATTTTGACAACTGACCCAAATCGTCTCCTTTTAACGCATGTAATAAAACGTAGATCAATGCCAGTACAAAATTTAAAACGTGTTTATTATAACGATCAATATTTGGAACCGCTCCTTTCCAGGATATTGTCTTAAGAGTCTTAATCCATATTAAGCACAAACACAAAGACGTAAGCAGATGAAAAAAATCTGCGAAAGGAATTTGTGCGCAAACATAAACAACTTGCAAATAATTAATCGGACAATTTCACAAGAGGAGAAGGCAAGGTTTACACGATTAAACATGAATAGCATACACGATTTACCTCTAGACTACCATTTCCAGCGGTAATGAAGCCTATGTTTCCCTTATTACTTATATTAATGTCTTGAATAGAAATTTTCGTTTGAGGATAATTTAATAATGTTAAGGACGTTATAAACTTAATAATAGTTACACGAGCACTTTAAAATTCCGTAGTATTGTAAATCGCGACACAGAAATGTTATTACAGAATTCGGCATTTTTGGTTAAGCAGAAATATTTTTGTCGGTAACTTGCAAATATTGAATATTCTCTGAATTTTTCGCATTTTTCGCAAGTACATCAAACATTAATAACTGCTGTAGAAATGAGCGCTTGCATGTAGAGCTGGAAATGCTTACGCCTTGCTGCATAATGTCCATAATATTAAATAAGCGACGTTGTTAGACGGCAGCAGCTAGATCGACTAATGAGAATTCGACCATAAATTATTTTACTTTCGAAATTTTGTTGTTGTTAAGTTGTTAACAATAATTATATGCAAAGCTACAAATTACTGATAACATGTGCATTAAAGGATAAAAAGTCTGCGCTCCTCACAAAGATTAACGCAACATTCAAATTAGTAGAGAGGATACGACAGATTAATAATTATGAATAGCTCCCTCAGGGAAAGTCGAAACAGTTTTCATCAAAATGAAACATAAATATGCCAAATTATCTTTTTTTTTCTGGAAAAAGTGATTACTGAAAGTCACTTATAACCACTTACTATGTACATTTATTGTCGGTTGTTTATAATTACTTTTAAGAATTTACTTCGCCATTTTTAAAGATGGAAGACTGTAGTGACTCATTTCATACTTTAACTAAAAGCTATTAGCACAGGGTTTCTGTAAATGATCGAAGTAGGTGATGGAAGCGTGCCGCCTATCACTTTATTTGTATTTTACTAAATCCCCAAGGAGGCACGACGAATACCACATGCAATAATAAGTATGAACTGACACTTTAAACAACTAGATTTGTTTAATTGTAGTTCAAGGGCGAGGACAGTTCTCTCAAATAAATAATAACAAGACCTTTTTTACATAAATGTGCATTAGCTTGACAACAAAATATCTACGCATCCAAAACACGTATTTTCATTGCGTGTTGCTTTACAGAGTTTTAAAAATACGTTAAAATTAAGTTAAAGTACACTCGTTAAATTCAAAAGGTTGAGTGAGTCAGCCTTAAACACTATAATAAAATTCGTCATTTATGTTTTATAATATCTGTTTTCCATTTTAGCTTTAAAGATTTCGTTTATATTTAAAGCGAATTTAGTAAAGTGGTTTTATATCTGTCCTCTACTATAAGATAAGGTTTTATATTCACAAATCGAAAAAAATGTGAAAATCCTTTTTGATTGGTGAATTATGTAACTAACGGTTAAAATGGCCTTAATTTTTGGTGGGGCGTATTAGCAGTGTATTCAACGTTTCGCCAGGTCGGCGTATGAGCTTCATAGATGACAGGCACACGACGTATTAACCAGACTGAATGTTAAGTTGGATTTGAATGATGTAATCGGAACATATGTCGTCATGTAGTTGTGTTAACATTCAGGATTGTTTCAGTCCATCCCGTAGTACAAGTACCAAATCAATTGGTGGGAGCGCCATTGGGAAGTGATGTGACATTAGAGTGCAACGTGGAGGCTTCCCCTAAAGCCATCAACTACTGGGTGCGAGAGAACGGTACGTCTAACTTCATTTCTAACTTGCCAACTACTCGCTACTTCCCAACGTGCTAAACTAAGTTAATTATTTAAATATATGCCACTTATAAGTTAGAACGCATGATATACACCCGCACAATAAAACAATTTCATTCCCCATAATACAGTCAGAGAAACGTTCCAGATAAATCTTTTATTAAGTTTAGTTTATCACGGGTTTTAATTAGTTTCAATCAGACTGCACCCTTTTGTGGCAAATAATCAACAGCCTTTTTGGCTTAAAGTCTTTTTTCCCCTTTTATGTTTTAATTAGAATTTAGCTCTACATAATTTGCGTTCGCAGTGGAAGCTGAACACACTGGAAACAAGAGTTCTGTCGAATATCGTTTGGCTATAGGTCATTTCATTAAATAGTGACCTGCGTTACGGACGGGTCTTTTAATCTGGTTCACATTTTCAAAGTCAATAATATGTTGAATGCAGTGAAACAAGAATCCTTTTGATTATTCCAGATTATATGAATAATTGACAGTGGATTTGAGCAGCCATAATAAACGCAACGTTAAAATTAATTAACTCACTACTACATATAAAATGGGGAAAATCGATCAAAAACTAAATTTCTATTCGAGGTTGTAGTGCTCCACGGTTGTCTATTATTTAACGCACAGTTAAAACGGTGAGAAATTACCGTTTTTAGTAGTTACAGTTAAGAATGTTTCACTTGGTTCGATATATAAGTTGAAAATAAATCAGTGTGCAATTTGATAAAGTGACCATTGCTAGGATTTTTGTCGACAAGTTAGTACAAGTTTCCCAGTGGGGTTTCGGCTTAGCGTCGCGAAGGAAGGAAAATTCATTTGTTGGTGCATGCAGAGCGTCTGAAAAAATGGGGCTAGATGCAGTTGATGTCGGGCATTTGCGAGTGATAAATGACTTCTTAGACGGAATTTATAAATCCCGTCAAGAGAATTCAGCATAAGATCAATTACTGAAATTAAGGGTTTGATGCGTAACCGACAACAGCGGAACGGTCATATCGCAAGCATCAGCCCGGACGTGACGCATTAAGAATTAACAGGATAGAATTAAGTAGCAGTTTCATTAATCATGTGCAGGAAGCTAAAGCTCAGCATATCCAGACCCATTATCAGTTTAGTACAGGCCACTCCTGTCCAGAATCTATCGACCGTCTTTATCGCGGGTCATCTCTGTAATGGACTGACCGTCAACTGTCGTTTTACAGGTGATATGGTGGTAGGCAGCGGTAAATACGACGTCAAGGTGCACATGCTGTCTACCTTCGAGAGTCGGATGACGGTCACTGTAAGGAAATTACAGAAGGACGACGCCGGCACGTACAGATGCATCGCTAAGAACTCCCTTGGAGAAGTGGAAAGCAGCATTCGCCTCTACGGTAAGCATGATATGATCAATTAGAATGCTGGTATCAGCAGTGGCGGCTCGTCAGGCTTAAGCCGAATGAGGCCAAAAATTTTGACCTTCTCATTTGTATATCAAAAACAAAAAAATCCATATACCGCATATAAAGACAAAAAAACAATAATAAATTTAAACTAAACGCGTAATTTGAATTGGTAAATTTATCAGTGATGCCTTCGTAAAATTTTGAGTTTATAGAAACTCACTAAGCAATTTTTTTCATTTGAAAATAAGTTTTTCTTGGCGCTTAGAGTTCCTTAAATAAGTTTTAGTTCTTTTTAAAGCCGAACATTTTTTGAATTTCTTCAAGTATATCTTTAAAATCTCAACGAATTAAATTCAACATTTTGACAGGGTTTGAACTCAAAAACTGAGAATCCCTGTATGTATATTATCGATGACTCACAAATCAAACATTTTAAAAAACCTACTCTTAAGTTCTGTTAATAATAAACTAGACAATTTATTTGATATTCTGAAAACCGGGTTGAATCGACGAAAGATAAAAACTTTAGTTTTTCAAAGTTTTAAAATCTACAACAGTTTCATTTGATGAGTGACTACGTTTTATAGGCAAGCGAGTTAAATTTTAGAACTAGTAATATTTTCTGTTCGTAAAGATCCAATGCGATTTTTTATGCCGTTAATACAGGTGATTTCGAAATGTGTGCAACAAAAAAGTAGGGAATAGCTCAAAATAAGAGTTATTGCACGTTGGAAGGTTCACGTTCCCAAATTATTTGTGAATAAATATAAATTGACGCCACTGGTTTTCATGGATCAGTTGGTTGCCGTCGTGTGTTCGGTTAACGTCGTTGACAATGTGAATTTTTCCAACTCAGAACCGTAATAGAACGGACTGAATACTGCAAGCTTAAAAACAAATCAGCACTCGCCGACTTGGAGCTGATGTGGTGGTGTTCCATCATGCAAGTACCACGTGCAAACTCGTTCACCTAGAGGCGCTTCCACATCTAGCTTCTTCCAAAATATTGTTTAAAAACTCGAGGCACTGTGGATATATGCCTTGTTCTTTTATGATGATGTGGGGCTCTTATTCGACGCGTTCCAAAATTTGTTCTTCGGTGTGCAGTATTCTTTCGGTTCTACAACAGCCACGAAGTCCCGAAAATTTCCATGGTCTGCTGATGTTGCTGTTTCACAGTCTTGCCAATTCTTGCTTACCAAGAAGTATTGTAACGTCTACGTCGTACGCACGCGCACATCTCCTTAAGTGAAGTCCTCCAAACCTGATCGCACTTAGGTCGTTTTTGCATTAAGAAATCGGTTTCTAAGTCACACAGTTAAAAAAGAAAAATTAGTTGCGTCGTCTGACGAGCCGTCACTGCGTTTGAGAAGCTTAAATTGACAACGTGTAATTTAAATAACGTCCCTTTAGTTACTGTTGTAGATCTTCTTGTAACATTAGTTTAGGGTGGCTTTTTGTGATTTCGCACACACTGCGAATGTGAGATTTTGTAACTTAATTAATAGGGGTTTACAGTCATGTGTTACTTGTTTCTAACAGGCCAGTCCGACTATAGATGCTAACTATTTATAAAACACTCTAACCAGGGAAATTTCATTAGGACCTGAAACTCGACTGATTCATTATCCCCTAAAATGATAGTCACCGATACACCTTTCACGATTTACAAAATTACGTGACACCTAATTAGCCAAAAGAGATCAAGAATATTATTGAATCAAAAATAATAATAATAATAATGTAAAGTTTGCTTGCGAAATCGTTTCGCCTTCGCGGAAACAAAATAGCCCGAGTTTTCGCCGCGTTTTTTCCAGCTCTTGGAAATAAAGGCCATAACATAACCATTGTGAGGGGCTAAAATGTGAATTATAATTGTAGTCAATGAAAAAGTGTGCGCGTCAACCCTGCTTACCGCACCATATGTCCACCGTGCACTAGGCGACGTTTCAAATTATATATTGGATATTGATAATTGTTGAGCGCGTTAATCTGCGCCCTAGCTAGATAATCCTTAAATTAACTCAACTGATTTGTGCAGATTAACCGCCACACTATTATAACCCTACAGCGGCAAAAAGGGTGATATAGAATAAGCCACTTGCCACAGATTTATTAGATTCTAACCTACACTAAATCCGACTTTTTAAGACTACAATAAATCGTTAAGATAACTTTCAATATAAAAGTGTTCACTAAAATACTATGTAGCGCTAATCCATAACGCAAACGAATCGTGAAATAACGCACGCGTTTCTAGCAAAGAATAATGTACCGAGTTACTGCTTACACGATAAGACTTGAAGTTCAGAATAAAATTGAAGTCATTTTAAATAAGAAATCGTAAGTTATTAGGTTTCAGTAACAAACTTTCCGTTTTTGAAGTAGTTCGATATTGCGATATTTTAATCAAGGAACATTTAAGCATCTTGCACAAGAATAGCAGAACGCAGATCTGCTGAAGAGAAGTATGTTTTTGTAGCTGACGTCACAAAACATCTAACCAAAGTGGGTTAGGCTAAAGCCGTGTAAAGTACTCAAATTCAATTTACAAGTATAACTTTGTTTATTTGGCTTTGTTTGTAATTAGAAAATGGCTGTGAAACGATCTTCAATTTTACATGCATTCTGGTATTTCGAATTCAAGAAAATTCAATAACGAAGTTGGTGTAAGGGTTTGCCAAACATAACCTGAGAAGTTTAGTCGTATCATTAAATATGAACGGTCGGATTATCGATATATTCTTGAAATGAGCGAGAATTTTTTTTGGTTGCCTATTCACATTATTATTCATGAATTCAGTATGTACATGCTTTAATGATCTTTATTTTCAAATGTGATTATGCGGAAGTACGTTTTGCTGTTAGATTGATGTGTTTTAAGCAGAATGATATCATTTGTGGTAGGATGTGATTGATGAATGAGTGTACAGTTCGCACGTAGAAAACTGGTTGCGTTCTGTGTACGACACTCATTAATGTGTCGATTGCTCTACTAATTAATCAGTTTTAAATATCTCCAGCGAAACTATACATGTAGTTCAAAATTGGTTAGTTTGTTTCTTTTTTGACTTTACAACTCGAATAACGTTTGTCCTATGTTTTTGAAACAAGTCCGCCTTACTACTTAGGCAACAACCCCGTATCGCGGACGATCGTAAAATTTCAATCAGATCGTTGCTTGCCATTGTCGATTCCACTTGATTTTGGTCCAGAGTAGTGTATTTTAAATATACTGTTCACTCATTCTGTTTCTCCGGCTCTCAATCCACGATTTTACCTACCTAGAAAATGTTTGTTTGCTTAGAGTGTAACGTGTGCGCGTTTTTGGATAACCAATTAAAATAGGAGCAGCGGTTTATTTACAGAAATTTTACAGTCAACTGTTATTGTCGTCCAACATTTGAAGATGAAGGTACACAAGTTAATTAAATTTAACTATTGTGGGAATTATGAATAAATTATAACTCAATTCTAATTAGTAAACTAGTCCACATATGCTAAAAAAGCGAGTCAAACTTTACCCACACATCGTGAAAGGTCGTGTCGTTATTTGTAGAAACAAGTCACACTTAAACGAATAGCAAGCAGTTGTGTTTGGACCACCTTGTTAGCCTGCAGTAAAAGGGGACGAAATCTGATTAATGGTACCATTTATGAGTTAAAATCACAGTTCGCTGAGTACGTAAAATGGAACACATGTTCTTGTAGTTCGTCTTACAGATATACCGACTCCGACGAAAGGATACCCTGTCTCGGTGGATCAGGACGACGACGAAGAGCAGTATGGGTCCGCGGAGCGTGAGGATGAATTCTCGAACAGCGTGTTGGAGCGCAGTCGAGACGGAGGGCACACAACCTCTGGCCCTCGGGGCCACCTGACCGGCGCCCACGAGAACTACGTCCCTGCCGACCCCGCACCGAGCCAGTCCTGCTCCTTGGTCCCCATGCTGTCGTCTCTTGTGCTGCTGCTCCTTAGGATATGACGGCCCGCTGTTCCCGACGCATTTTTGTAGTGACAATAACGTTTCATTCCTTGTTTCCCCGATTCTTGACCGTTTTTTATTTCAAAACCCGTTTCATGTGTGGTTTTGATTGTATAGTCTAATCGTGTATGGTAACTTAAAAGTAGCTGGCCAGCGGTATCAGCGGCCGAGGAGACCATACAGTATGTTGCCTTATAATGTATGTCAAATAACTTAGATTCATAAGATATAGGCAATCTAGTTACGAAATGTCATATAAATATGTTAAACCAGTTGTTTGCTGAGATGTATTAATTATGTGTTATTCTGGAATTTAAGTCATGCAAATAAATACGATAAGTCCTCGTATATTCCTTGATAAGTGGTTGTAATTTTATGCCAGTTTACACGTTCGCTCGAGTCCATCCATCTGTCTAGACTTACTGCAGCTATTTAGACAAATTGCTGCTAATTGAGAAAGCTCCATTGCGTAAAGCTCTAAATTCTATAATTTGCGCACTCCGACAAATGATCTCGCATATTTTCACCCGACTGTTAACAAAATTTCACGATCTCACACCAAACTTTATCGTTTCTTGGCTTAAAAATAAAACGATAGTGAGAGAAATCAAGCGGAAGGACACTCGAGGTAGCATAGTGGGACGGCTTGAATGGCATTCGACAACATCACACGTCACACTGATTAATGATTATTAGTGTCACTTGATACGCATTCATGAATAGGAGCTACCACTTGCTGTGATAACGTGATTACCAGCCTCTTCAAACGAAACCAGTGATAACACCATACAGCCTTCACAAGGTAAGTGCGTAGAATTCTTTCACCCATAAATCTAAAATGAAGCTTTAATATTATGAAACAGCTATTTGGTAAGCACTGCACTGTTCGTATTCATAATAAGTTGTTTTGCTGCGCACAAATAATCGCTTAAAGTTCCCGGAGCAGTTCCCTTTGGAGGTTAAGCAACGATCGTGTTGCTATATAAATATTTTCAATGTAGTAATACAATACCACGTGTAACTAAAACATGGCTCCTCTCGAGAAACTTCTTATTTATGAGTTTACTTAAACGCGTGATGTTTCTTACATTTAAAAAATATGATTCAATTCTCTAAACATTCCCCGTGCCTTTAATATTAAAGATGGAATTTAGAGATGGAAGCCGCGTTTTTTGTAAAATTGCATCAAATATTTATTATAATCGTGAATCAGGGTTGACAATTAAAGAAGACGGATTAATAAAGACACAATTAACCTAGCCAGACGTTCAAAAAATTGGTACATGAATTATAACTTAGCAAGCTGTGTGCGGTGTTTTATGCTCTAAATGATTAAAAGGTCCTGTAGCCCTCCTTGACACTCGGGATTTATCTTTTGTCTCTCTTAATTCTTTACACAACTGATAACATTGGGAATTGTATTTCGCGTTGTAACCTAACGGTGGACACTTGGGCATGTTATGAATTCCGCGATTCTACACTGAAACTTTAGAGAAAGCACACAAATATAAGTAGACAAACTGACACCAACAATAACTAAAAAATAAATAACTGTAATAATTTTTTAGATTTTGTTGTTTTACCGTTTGTTTTCAATTATTTTGTATATTTTTATTTCGTGATCGTAAGCTAAGGAAGCATTGTAATCGAGTCCACTGAACGACTGGCTACACTAGAGTACGCAAAAATGGGTCTCCCGTTCGTTTCCGTCTGTCTGTCTGTCTGCCGTCTGTCCGGATTTTTACTAAACAGATAATCTCCGAAACTACAGAACCGATTCTTGTTCAACTTTGTATGCGTATTAGGAATATCGTGTAGATGGTAAAACATTAACCAAAATTTGTCTAATCATCCCCACCAAAAATAGGATGATGTCATCACCAAAATTTGCATTAGTAGATATTATCTAAATTTTAGAAAATAAGATACTCCGACACATGCGGTTTGTAAATCTGTGTTGAGTTTTTATCTTGGACGTCCAGATTTTTGGAAAAAAGTCCAAATTGTATTGAATCTTGGAGGCCACTCGCGCTTTATTTTTGGAAAAATTCCACTATTGTTTTCAAAATTCAAAACAATTTGTACAGCTCTTTTTTGCAAAAATTTGTGTCTGCAGAATTAAAAAAAAATTTGGATCTTCTGGCCGTTTTTTAAGTTTCTTAAGGACCTTAAGAATTGTAAAAAATCTTGTAGGTGTTCTTTTTACTTCCCGAGCGTAAGCAAAGGAAGTATTGTAATCGAGTCCGACGGCCGACTCTCTACTTTTACATTTTCTCGCCGTCTGTCTGTCCGTTTGTCTGCCGTCCCGGATTTTTATTAGACAGATAATCTCTAAAAGTACTGAGCCGATTGTTGTCAAATTTTGTATTTATATTAGGAATATCACGTAGATGGTAAAACGCTAACCAAAATTTGTTTAATCATCCCCATCACTAATGCAATGACGTCACTTCAAAATTGTACATAGTAAATGGGTTTTAAAATGCATAAAATAACATAGTCCTACGCATGTAGTTTATGACTACGAATTGAGTTTTTACCCGAAACGTCCAGATTTTTGGAAAAAAAAAATCAATATTTTGAAACAAAATTTTGCAATTTAATTTGGAATCTGCAAAACCGAATGCTTTGAAATCGTGCAATTTTACAATTATGATAAACATGGTGAATTTTTAATCAAAATATAGTTACTTATCCCCTCCCAAAAATTGATGACGTCTGTTGAAAAGTTTGCCGAATAAATCCTATATAAAATGTATAAAATACGATGCGTCTGTACTTGTGATTTATCATTCCATTCATATTTTTTGGATTTGCATATACAGGGTGACTCAAAAAAAATAATTTTGGAGATGTTTTAAAATTATCAGAAGCATGGTAAATTTTTTATCAAAACGTATTTGCTCATCCTCCCTAAAAATTGATGACGTCAATGTGCAAAGTATGATGGGTCTAAGTCTATACTTGTGATTTATCATTGCGTTAATATTTTTTTGACTTGCTTATACAAGGTGTCTTAAAAAATTAATGACTGAGTCAATTTATTTAATTTTTCAAAAAAGCCGGATTTGTGGCACTGTATTTCGGAGGCGAGAGAAGTCCTGTCAAAATAACTTTCGACCAATTTTTTAATAGTTTAGTGTTTAGTTTTTAAATGATTTTTATAGAATCTTGGAGAAGGGCTGGTTTTTTTAACTTCAAGTCCCTAGTTTTTGTTTGTTGAAAGATTTTAAAATTCTTGGTGCAAATATTTGAATAAATTTTAAAACGCTTAGTGGCTTTCTCATTGAATTTAGACTTCTGTTTGTGGAGTGTTTTGTTTTTGAAAGGATATTCGGGTTCCTAGAACTTAAAAAAAATCTTGAGGCTCCTGCTTAGTTTTTGGAAAATTTTCAAAAAACATTGGGACAAAAGCGTACTGGTGTTTTTTTTGAAAACTTTTATATAATTTAGTACCTCAAGAGGTTTAACAATTCAAATTTTGCAAAAAGTCTTGGGGGTTAAAGTGTCTTTTTGTAGATTTAGAATTCTTAAAAATTTTCCAAAATAAGATACTTTGGGGCATGTGTTTTGTGAATCTGTGTTGAATTTTACCCTAGACATCCAAATTTTCGTAAAGAATCAAAACTATGTAACAACATTTTGCAATTTAACTTTGAAATTGCAAAACCGAATGCTCAAAAATCTTACAAACGTTTTAACGTTATCGTAAGCATGGTAAATAGTTTATCAGTTTTTTCGTTTTTGCCCCCCAAAAAGTGATAACGTCATTTTAAAATTTTGCCGAAAAAATGTTTCGTAAAATTTATAAAATTAAATCAGTTTTGGGTTTTTCCCTAGACATCCAGATTTTTTGAAAAAAAATCAAAATTTTATTTAAAATTTAATTTTGAAATTGAAAAACCGAGTGCTCTGAAATGAATCTGAAAACTTGTTAGGGTCATAGGAAGAATGATAAATAAATCGTTAATCAACATTTTCCGTAAAAATGATGAGGTCATCATATAATTCGGCCGATGTTTTTAAATTTATAATGATTTATGAATCCATGTTGAGTTTTATCCTTGGCAGTGCTTTGGGAAAAAAAGATCTAAATTTGATAACACTATTTTTCAAAACAACTTTGAAACTGCAAAACCGATTGCTGATGTGAAATCTTGCAAATATTTTAAGGCTAATTACAATTTTTCCACTCTCTGAGAATTTTCCTCCAAATTTATGAGTGTTTTTCGGAAACAACTGAATGTGTTTAATTAAAATCAGTCAAATTTCATTTTCTTTTAACCGCTGATGCTTGTAATCTGAACGTGCAGTATAAATATAAACAGTCGAAATTAAGCATGTACTGAGAAATTGAGAATATCGACATTTTTCCCGTTGGTTGTTTGCTTAAAATATATTTCATATTATTTTTACTTTTCAGAGGTTACAACAAAACGAAAACAGCAAAATCATTTTTTTTTATTATATGCAAAAGTTGAAGTTTTATGTTGAGAAAGGAATTTCAGAAACTTTCAAACTATTTTGAAGGATTGAACCTTAAAAATTTCAGGGCTAATTCACACTTGGGCCTAGGCCTTCGTTATGGCCCTCTGGTTTTTGGGCTATCCCTTTTAGCTTGTCGCGAAGTCCAAAATTTGAGTCAGAAATTTCAGGAATTGCAGGCTATCCGGGTGACAATTCCGTCTAAGCAAAGCGGCCTATACCAAGGCAAGGGTGTGGTTAACTTAATCAAGAGGGTGTTTGCATTATCGACCTATTGTATTATGTCAAACTGACAGCTGTCCCGGATCCTACTGCTTGTCGCATTTCCCACGTACCAGGTGAAGCTTACAAGTCCAACTTCCTAAACTCGAACAGGCCAAACCGTACCCTATATACGCGTAAACAATTTGATTTGTAATTAGATGGTATTTTGGCTTCCGTTTCCTCCTGGCTATTTATATCTAGTAGAAACTAGTTATTAAGCTTAATATTCAAGTATACAGTTTATAAGCCGCTTTACTTCCATGGAGATGTAACAGTAGTTTGCGAATAAATGTCACTTAACATTGACGACACTCCCATCCCCGTTGGGTTTTTACATTCTCAAGAAATGTTGCTGTTTTTAAAATACGGTTGTTATTAGAGCCAATTCATTTGTAAACTTTGCTTCTAACCCAGTTAACAAGTCGAGCAAGAAGCGTTGCCTTTACTGCTTCTAGTTTCGTTGTAAATATGAATTGAAAGCTCGACCCTTTTTCAGTCCGTTGTACAGAGTTCCCGAATTGCGTGAATTGTCGCGTCGGGGTTTGCATCAGCGATCGAAAGTAGCGAGAAAAACATCACATTTTGAAGAATCTGTAATT